TTTTTATGGTCAAATTGCTGCATTATACTTCCTATTTTACTATATTGTTCGATGTGAACATACACTCATGACTCATACATAGCCCATAGCCTCAAATTTTAATAGTTGATTTATTAGCAAATAGAGCATGCGTCATTAATCAAAATGAGCAGTTTTAAAGAAAAATAAATCAACACTTGATAAAAATGGAAACATGAAAATTTTTAGTGTATCATAATTCGTATAAATATTAATCAGTTTTGTGTAGCTGCAATTAGCCATCCAAGATTCACAAATCCTTAATGTCTATAGTAAATAAAGATGGTTTGCCTGCTAATGTAGTTTCTGATGTTGGCAGTGCATGTGGGAATCCTGTGTTTCATGGTATTCATGTGAATGTGTTTTACCCTGTATTTACAGGACAATGCTCTTGGGTTGATGCACCTCCGCAAACTGTTCATGGAGTTTTGCCACCCAAAGCAGAGCATGTCACCTGCAGAGCAAGAAGACAAGCTTTATAACATGTTGCCTTTGTTTTGTAAGGTATATAAATTTACATGTACTTTGTTATATTATTCTTTTCAGAGTATGTGCAAGTGAAAATAAAATAATTATACTTTGATAAGATAAGTGAAAGTGATTTCCACATTATTATTCATTATATTGAATGTATTAATAGTAGTGATATATGTTTATCAGATCTATTATAGTATTGAAAAGTATTGATGTACTAAAAATGCTATATCTGAAGTTCAAACTGTGTGAATTTTAGGTCTTTGGTAGCAGCCCTTCAAGTGAGATGGAGAAGTTTGGAGATATCCTTCAGTTTTGTAGCTATGTCTCTAAGCTAATGGTAACAGAAGTCAGAAGAAGGGCATCAAATCAATCTACTGGTGAGCAGATTAATCATTTGGAATACTACTAGTCAAAGCTGTAAGTTATCATAATACAGTTATGAACCTGTTTCTAAATACTGTTTTAGTAATTTTAATGCACATTAGTTTTGTGTCTGCAGTTATTATATATAATCTACTATTTCGTATTTCGTAAGCAATGATGTGATAAATGTTTAATATCAAATTTTACATGATGAATAAGTTCATTACCAGTGTCTACTCAAAAAGAGCATTGCACATGAAAAATGATTGAAACTCAGTGCATATGCAAAACAAAATATTAGATGTTAAAGGTTACATCTTTAAAAATCTGACAGGTAGGTGGATTTTTAATATTTTTAATATTTTTGTTTTATTTGTTTGACTTTACCGTGCTCGACTTTCATTTGCCTTTTAATCTCGTGTGTATCATACCGATCACACTTCTGAGAGCAATCTGTTCTTGCACAATCTGTAGGATGATTGTTGCAAGTCTAGCTACAGTACAAGCCAGATACTACGGCTGCAGCATTATGGTCATGCTTTCCCAACACCGGGCATAATGCTGCAGTAATAATTTGAAGCAGCAATTCCTCTATAGTGCATAAATTTGCATTCTCAGCAGAATGCACATGCATCCGCCCAGGTGAAATGCTTCCAGCGCACATTACTGTAATGTCTTGTGGTGTTTCAGTATCGCATGTCACATGGATGCAGCTGTGAGTGCAGTCAATAAGTTTTTATGGTAGATATTTAGTGTTTATCTTCGGAATTTATGTTTACAGAGGCAGCCAGTCAAGCGATCGTGAAATTCCTTGAGATTGAGAATACAGAGGAGGCAAGTAATGGATGGATGCTGTTAACCACACTCAACCTTCTCGCAGCTGGTAATCATAGTATGGTAAGTAGGTAGCCGGAATGTAGCATAACTGCTTTATGCTTCAGTGTGTGCAGCCTGATCTTAATTCAATGACGTACGTTTCAGTCTGTATCTCCGGATTGCGGGTGTCTACGAGGAAATGATTTCGTACGATGATGGGCGAATGTACTGTGTCCGATTTGAGCTCAAGTTGGATGAGTTACGCGTAGTAAATCGAAGGTATTATAAGGCTAGTAAATGACGAATTTCCCTTGTTTATTGAAGTCACACTCCTTCCCTTTATCTACTCCTGATCATATGCACTTATCTGTATTATGTTAGATCCACGTGTATAAGGTGTAGATGTAGGACAGGTTTGCATCAGATTATGCAAAATTGGGATTAAAATTCACATTTAAATAGGAATGGGATTAAATAGTTATTTACCTTATTTTCAAAATTTGACTGTATATTTATTTTTCACTAATTACACTTTCTTGTGTGAAAAATGTGCAAAAAGGGTAATTATACACAAAATCAATCAGTTATTAGATAAATACATGAATAGAAAAGACATAAATACCCAGATAATACACTGTGTATGTGCTTATATTTATAATATAGGCCTCCACAATTTTGCATTTTGGCTGCATGCTTTAGCAACCCAGTTGCTTATCTAAGTCTCATATTCTGGCCACCAAGCACATACCCCGTGTAATAACATAGGCAACCAGCTATTTACCTTGAAAATAAAAAAAATAAAATATATTAGGTTGTTAATGTCAGATGTGGTAGCAGTTTGTATGAGGTTGAGTGGTGGTAAAGCAATCCGTGCGCTGTTTACATAGCAATTATTACATTACTTGCCATCGATTATAAGACCATTGAATCGCTTTAGGCAGAGTAAATTGTCTAGCCGTGGCAGTCATATAAATTTAAATTTTTCCATCAATGTTTTAGCTAGGTTTTAAATTTGGGTGACAAATGTGCTGTAAATTATGAGCCATTTTGTCTGGTATCCATGATCCAAGGGGTGGTGCGAGAAAGGTGGGTGGGGAACTGCATAGTATTGGGATTCTTCTTTAAAATCTAATGCTATTAGGTAATCAGATCACATTTAGAAAGATAATTGCACTGAAGCTATGGATGGGGTGGGCATTTGACTTATTATAGTTTACACATACACTGTTTCAGGTGAATACACAGTGCTTCTGCCAGGTTAGCATAGGGTATCGTCTAAATCTCCGTAAACTGTTGATTTAATGCACAGTATTTTAAATCCGCTGTTTCTGCCAGACCTCAGTCTGTAGCCTGCAGTCGACAAGTTGTGTTGCACAACTTTGTCAGTAAATGCGCTAGTAGTGGTGTCACCTTCATTATTAGCAAGGGTATAGCCGTCAGCTTTGAAACGTTTTTTCTAGTAAATATAGTAATATTGAACAATGAAATTATTTATGTAGCATAATTTAAACCTATTCTAACTGAGAATATGCAAGGAACCTTAGGTCATGTGTCCCTTTAAAATTGTATATGATAACTTATTATTATGGTCAAACTAAAGTTGAGCTGCTAAACTGAAAAGTATTCCATTTATATGAATATTGCTTAAATGAATCAAATAAAATTAGCATTCTTCTTTAAGTATTCACGGATTAGGTCCATTCATTTTCACTGTTCATTTAAGACCATTCATAAATCAAAAAGGGAACTGATCGGCAATCTGATAATGAATTCTTTTATGCGAGTTTAGGCAATTCAGCTATGTGATAGAATAATATTGGTTGATTTTTTGTTTACATCCATTTGCCTCGATTAAAGACCTTAAGTAGTTTATGGTCTAGGTTGATGTTCTGCAGTTGCTCTAATCAATGCTGCTGTCAGTGTCAGGTTAAAGGATTTCTGATTTATGTGCTTACGATCTATCAAAATTAGCAAATCATAATAATTTACATGATGAAGATGATAAATTTGAAGTTGACTTTATACATTTTAATCCTGATACATGCACGAATCATCATATTTAGTAACTACAATAAAAAGATAAATGTGAACATTTTGTGATATTTGCACATTTCGAAATTGTTTTGTGATTTATCAGTCCTAGGTCAAATCGCTAATCGATTCACTATATTTTCAAATGGGACAATGGTGCACACATTGTAATCAAAGAAATGTTGATAGCCATCGATTTTTTTGTGCTACATAATTTAATGATACATTGGAATTTACTAATCAATTTGTAATTTATTAAATGTTTCTGGGTGGTTATGAAACCTGTATTTGCAGCACCTTTGTAAATGATTGAATGTGCACATCTACGTGCATACATTTTTGAACAGCACGTTTATTATACTTGATGGTTTTCTGTTATAAAAACATGGTTTTCCCCATTGGGCATTGTCATATGTGGTAGTTTGCATTGGGTTTTTATATAGTTTTGTTCCGCCTGATCCATCTATCTTAGCTATTTGACTGTTTGCTATATATATGATGTACATGAGGTAAGATACATATTCACTTTTCAATGTATTATCTGGTTATAAATCTTTTTCTATCCAGAGAGACCGGGTACAAGATGGCGTTGCACAAAAGATGCGTTGTTCCCCGACCGCCGAAAGCGGTTAAGCCGCGCACTTCCGCGGACTGGGCGCCACGGACCGCGGCGGTGTTGTATGTAGCATCTCGGCGCTACCCCGCCTATACGAATTCGCGCGCCGAAGGAAGGCGGCCCGCGCGAATGCGTATAGCGGGCAGCCTAAACATCGCGCAGTTTTCGGGACACGTCCATCGGCTCGGCGCTACATCGGCTTTGGAGGGGCCTTCCGATTATAGATTGACACGCGTTTGTACATCCTCGCCGTCGTACGTCACCTGCCGTATTTTCGTACCTTATCTGCGGTTCTCCCACTCTCTTTCTCTCTTTCTCGCTCCCCAGGTCTGTCTTCTCTCTTCTCTCTCTCTCGCTCGCTCCGCCGCCACGGTTAATAAGGTATCTATATACATGCATCAATGCTGCCGCCAGCCAGGCACACAAGCATGCGCTGCAGCGGTTTCAATAAAATGTAATGCTAAATAAATACAAAATCTATTTACTACGAAAGTCACCGCGCGCGCCAAAAACTCCCCGACCAGCCGTTTGTTGATATAGCATTTCGACCCGTGCCCGCCGCCACTGTGAGCGCGGGGAGGAGGGAAGCGGAATGTCGCCACTCCGCCGTCTTCGTAAAAACATGTGCATATATATATTTGTGTGTCAGTGTGGCGCGTATTGTAGGATTAGCTACGTGTAAAAACTGCCACGGCCACGCCAGCACGTGCTCGCACGACGGTGCCGTCGGCCACGGGCAGCGCGCGGGTCAAAGATGGTTGATAAAAACCTCGCACGTACGGAGCCAGGCGCTTTTGGAGATAGCTCTAGACCGCCGCCAGGCCCACGTGGAGCGCCGTACACGTCTTCGTTAAAACCTCTGCTGATAGACGTAACGCTATACTCGGCAGAAGCGCGACGTCATCGCCGGTAGCGGCCAATGAGCGACGCGCGTCATTGCTGATTGACAGCAATTTTTGGAGTTTCTTGTAGGAGCCACTACGTCTTAGCCACTGAGGCGCGCCACCCCAAAAAAAGTATTAGGGGCCGTTGGGGATGCCTCAAGCCGTCCATCCCAAATGTCGGTTGGATTGCGCCCCAGTTTTCGCGCGGAGTGCGTTTTCAGACCCTTGTCTAAGTATCTGTCTAGGGCGATAAAAAGGGGCGGCGTATTCACGTTGGGCGCGGCAAGCCGCAAGCGTCTGAGACAGCTGATACTCAAAATTTTTGATGCGAAATGTTTCAGATATAGCAAGATGAATATCATGAAAAATGTGATGGCTCAGGCCCGGCGCCAGTTTTATGAGCCTACCCTCACAAGCTCAGGTAAGAGTATGTCCTGTAGATGTGCCAATATCCATCTACCTTGTAGATCTTCTCACCATATAAAAACATACCAGGGGTAGAAATTAACTTTTGAACACGGGCGTCCAACGGACTCCTACCCTCAAAAAGAGGGAGTCCGCAGCCAAAATAGAGGGAGTCCGCAGTCTGAAGTTTCAAAATTAAAGATATTAACAATAACGCATGTGCTTATTTTAAGATCCATTCGCGGTTGCACGTTTGCCAAATTTTCTTTGGACTTTTACATGAAAAAATACGGTAATTCTGGAGCCGTGCTCTGAACAAACTAGTTAGAATGGCGCAGAATTTTCAGGGAGTGCATATGTCAAATCAGGGAGTTCGACACGTAAATCAGGGAGTATTTGACTCCGACTCCCGTTAATTTCGCCACCCTGACATACCTAGTCCTTGTGGTGATGATGATATTTTTATTTTTTTTAAACTTTTTGAAACGCTGAGTCACTCTTTTCGTAAACGGTGATGGTGATATACCGGCGCAATTATTATGTTGACTAACTGAAACTGCAACACTCAATGATTGCCAGTTTATATTTGTTGTGTCATTTCGACTGACAGAACAGCAAACAAAGTTGGTATTGTACGATTGTTGTGTCACCATCGTGTGACAGTCATAGTAGTCAACACACAGAAGTTTTCAGTCACACGACGTGTGGAGTGGCAGTTGGGCAAGCTAAAATGACATTTGTGATAAAATTGTGTTTAGATACATGCTGCAAAATTACTTTCCTTGAACAAAGGGCTTGGCATCTTAGCTCTTAAAGTCGATTACGTCACCGTAAATACTAAATAAAAATAAAAATTCTACTGTTTCACAAAATCGAAGTAATTCTGTTCACTTTTTATGGTCAAATTGCTGCATTATACTTCCTATTTTACTATATTGTTCGATGTGAACATACACTCATGACTCATACATAGCCCATAGCCTCAAATTTTAATAGTTGATTTATTAGCAAATAGAGCATGCCGTCATTAATCAAAATGAGCAGTTTTAAAGAAAAATAAATCAACACTTGATAAAAATGGGAAACATGAAAATTTTTAATGTGTATCATAATTCTCTGATAAATAGTTAATCAGTTTTGTGTAGCTGCAATTAGCCATCCAAGATTCACAAATCCTTAATGTCTATATAATAAAGATGGTTTGCCTGCTAATTAGTTTCTGATGCAGTGCATGTGGGAATCCGTGTGTTCATGGTATTCATGTGAATGTGTTTTACCCTGTATTACAGGACAATGCTCTTGCGTTGATGCACCTCCGCAAACTTGTTCATGGAGTTTTGCCAGCCCAAAGCAGAGCATGGCACCTGCAGAGCAAGAAGACAAGCTTATAAACATGTTGCCTTGTTTTGTAAGGTTATTAAATTTACATGTACTTTGTTCTATTATTCTTTTCAGAGGATGTGCAAGTGAAAATAAAAATAATTATACTTTGAATAAGATAAGTGAAAGTGATATTCACAATTATTTTCATTATATTGAATTGTATTAATAGTAGTGATTATGCTTTATCAGATCTATTATAGTATTGAAAAGTATTGATGTACTAAAAATGCTATATCTGAAGTTCAAACTGTCGTGAATTTTAGGCTTTGGTAGCAGCCCTTCAAGTGACGATGGAGAAGTTGGAGAATTCGCTTCAGTTTGTAGTCTACTGTCTCTAAGTAATGGTAAGCTAGAGAGTCAAGAAGAAGGGCGATCAGAATCAAATCTACTGGTGAGCAGCATTAATGCTTTTGGAATCATACAGTAGCTGTAAGTTATCATAATAAGTTATGAATCCACGTTTAATACCTGTTTTAGTAAGTTTTAATGCACATTAGTTTGTGTCTGGTTATCATACTGTTAATCTACCGATTGGTCGGATTTCGTAAGCTAATATGTGATAAATATTTACATGATGAATAAGTTCTTACCAGGTCTAGCTCAAAAGAGCATATGCACCATGAAAAAAATGCATTGAACTCAGTTCGCAATGCAAAACAAATATTTAGATGTTAAGGTCTACATCTCTTTAAAAATCTAGACAGGTAGCTGTGGATTTAATATTTTTTAATATTTTGTTTTATTGTGTTTGACGTTTACCACGTGCGTCGACTTTATTTGCCCTTTAATCTCGTGTGTATGCATACCGATCACCAGCTCTAGAGAAGCCATCTGTTCTTGCCACAATCTCGTAGGATGATTGTTGCAAGTCTAGCTACTAGTACAAGCCAGCATACTATCGGCTGCAGCATTAATGCCAGTCATGCTTTCCCACCCACGGCATAATGGCTGACTAGTAATAATTTAGAAGCCAGCAATTCTCATATAGGCATAAATTTGCATTCTCAGCCAGAAGTGCACATGCCTTCGCCCCAGCGTGAAAATGCTTCCAGCGCACATTACTGTAATGTATTGTGATATGTTTCAGTACTCGCATGCTCCCATGGATGCAGCTGTGAGTGCAGTCAATTAAGTTTTTATGGTAGATATTTTAGTGGTTATCTTTCGGAATTTATGTTTACAGAGCAGCCAGTCAAGCGATCAGCCTGAAATCTTGAGATTGAGATACAGAGGAGCCAAGTAATGGCATGGATGCCCTTGTTAACCACTCAACTTCTCGCCAGCTGGTAATCATAAGTATGGGTAAAGTAGGTAGCCGGCAATGTAGGCATACTGCTTTATGCTTACAGTGTGTGCAGCCTGATCTTATTCCATTGCCAAACTCTTAGAAATATATTGTTTATTACAATACAAAATGAATTGTAATTAATCTAAGATAAAAAATATATGTGATTTAATTAAAAAAAAAAAAATTTTGTATTTATTTAAAGTTATTAATTATTTAAATTAATTAAATTAGAATAATTTTTTTACATACAAGTCTACATATACTAACATAATTATATTGTATAGCATATAAGTTATAACTGTTGAACCTATAGTATTCAGTACGTGAGAATTTATTATCTTTCTACTGATTTTCAGGTTGAAGTGATGGTTTCTGTCTCAGTTCCTTCTACACTAGTCAAGTGTCTCTACCTGTTCTTCGATCTCCCATCTGTAGTTGAGGAGCAGAAAGGCGAGGCACCAGATTCAGATTTCACACCAACAGAGAGAAGAATTCTCCTCCAGAAAGTTTTCTCACAGGTTAACATTACAACCAATAGTTACTAACATCTTGGTAGAGTGCATATTTAGCAATTGGATAAACTTATAAGACAGGAACTATGACACTAGCATGTATGTTCACTGTTTTCTGTATGGCTCAGTAGCATCGCAAATCTAAGCAGCTTTATTTCATTACAGAATGGAAGGAAATGGAAGTTAATGGCATTGCATCAAAGGGCAATTTTTTTGAGGACTTTGAGGACATGTTTTGCTTTAACAATAACTAGAATTTTCACGATATAATTGAGAAACCGTGAAATGCACTTGCATAACGACATATGAAGAGCAAACTTTTAATGACCTTTTTTACCCTCAGGCATCAATCATGTTAAACATTTATGTCTTGTTCAGGATAAAATAGAAAAGATATGAATTGTTTACTTTTGGAGTTTTAGTAGAAATTAAAGCTTTAGTAGAAACACACACACGCTTTTTCCAAATCCCACCCTAGCATTTAGCTGCTGCTATAAAAGTGTGAGTAAAATGTTGAAATGAGTACATGTTTAAAATGATGCAGGTTATGGTGCGCTTGTGCAGTCATGAACCTCCGTGTGAAGAGTTGGCACGGAAGGACGATCTTACACTGCTGTTCAGTGCAATAACCAGCTGGTGTCCACCTCACAACAGACCATGGAGGCAGGCTGCAGCAGAGGTTCTCATGACACTATCCAGGCATGGCCTGACCCCGATGCTTGTTCAGTACATACATAGTGAGTATAAAGTTTAGTGCTGAGTATTGATCGAGTCACGTTATAAACATAACATACGTGCAAGGTTACTCCAGTGTATGGTGGCACGTGAATTTTAAATTTATGGTATTACTCTCCCTTTTCAGGCAAGGGATGCATGGCAATGTGTGTGGATAACATGCAGCGCACACAGGACCTTTCACCACTCGAGATAGTGGAGATGTTTGTCTCGGTATTCTGCTTCTTAAAAGACTCAAGTGAAGTGTCACAGACTCTGATGGATGATTTCAGGCAGTGCCAGGGCTACATTTTTCTTTCGGAGTTTTTGCTGAGGTAGTTACTGCAACAAAACCTTAGAACCTCCTAGAAGACTGATACCAACTCATTCTGTGATCAGGCGCATGTCATTTTGGTCCCGAACCCTGCTCACCAATAATTAATGGGGTGTGCTCATGATGTCTCAACCGTCAGCTTATGTACGGCATGTCTAAGTTACATTTAGCAGAGTGAGCAAACAAGTTACCTAGACACACATGAACATTTACAAATTACTAGTTTCTGCATCTCAGAGCACCTGGAAATATCAGGTCCTGTTCCATTAAGTTTGATTTTAGTTCTTCTTAACTGGTATTCAGAATAAGCTCACATAATCTGGTTAGTGGCTATTGTCCGTCTGCCCGCCCCTCTGTTTGTAGGGTGTTAATAATAGTGGTTATGGAATGTAGGGGTCAATTAAGAATGACATTGGTATAGTCAATAGGTGTGAAGAGATGGATTCCCCCCCCTAACACTACGATTAAGATCTCCATTGTACAGTTTCTGGAAGCTTTGTGAAATCGTCTATCGTAAAAAAAATATATTGAAGTTTTTAAAGAACAACTTTATTGTTATTATTGTAATCATTATATGTTAATGTCATGGTATATAGTTTGCTAGGTGATGTCTCACTGACTATGTATTCATAGGTTGGAACAGGACAGAAAGCAGGAAACTGCTGATGCTCTTCGCAATCTGGTGTTGTTGGTATCGTCACTGTCACTGTGTGGTTATGTGGAGCTGCGACCTACACAGGCTAGCACTGGATCTCTCTACCAGATGCCTGGCTTCTCATTGCCGCAGCCATCAGGGAATGGACTAAGTGTTCGAAATATACAAGCATTCCAAGTTCTGCAGTCTGTCTTTCTCAAAGTATGTACCTCACTTTTGTTTAGTTGAAAGTAAACAATGTCTTCCAACTTTTTGACTAGCAACCTTCTGTGCAGCGTAGTCTGCTGTTGACCATATATCTGATAATACATTTTGGGGGGTTTCTGTGGCTAGCCCTATATACATGTTTCAATGTATAGTCAACCACACGGAATGTTCTTTAAGGCATGCTTCTAACGTGTTCAAGTAAAATGCATATCTGTTAGTGTTGTAGTGCCCACTATCCACAAATACTTAAACACATACTGCCATATATTAAGTTAGCGTGGCACTCTAACCAAGAAAGCTATTACCATCTGTCACATTAACAGGTCTGTCCATATCTGTAACTTCATGGGCCAAACCTCTCACTTTTCTAGCTGTGTATCGATCATGCCTGTCAGTAGTGGTCCTCGTCGGCCTGGTTAAGGTAGAATTTAAGTTGGGGATTGAGAGGAGTAGGTTCATCAGTTTTGGTTTTAGTTAGTATGGGTGAGGCTAGTCTTATACTAATACACCTTTGATTTCTGCTTGTTGTGTTTCAGGCTCAGTCAACACCGTTGTGCTGTGCCATTCTTGATGCAATAAGCAGCGTCTACCACTCAGACAGTGTCAACTACTTTATTCTGGAGCCACAGCACACACTCTCACAATTCGTAGAGAAGATTCACTTGAAAGCTGCAGAAGTACAGGTAATTCTTTGGTAACCTCAGCATGATCATGGATAGTTATGCTTAGTTGTATTATGTTCGTGACGTGGCAGAAATCATTATGCCATAATGTCAGTCGGTTCAACTAAACAGCATGTCTCGTGATAAAAACATCCAATTTGACTTGCTGGGAGCGTTAATAGTAAACCTTGTATTGACAGCCTGTAGACAGGTAGAGTACAATAATGTTACGTGAGATCTGTGGAATTTCGTTGTAGCATGACCATGCAGCATTGTCTTGAAAGCTTGCATTTAAAGTTAATGACACTAAGTTTCTTAATTTATATTTTTATATTGGCATTGTGTATTGTTAATTCTTTCTTCTCATGGGAATCTATTGCAGGAAAAGTTCTTTGAGATGCTGGAATTCATCGTCTTTAATCTGAATTTTGTTCCCTGTAAAGAACTCATTAGTCTCAGCATACTTATCAAAACTCAGCAGTAAGTACAATCTGATATACCTGAGTTTATGGTGCGAGTTTCATCAGTTTGTACTGAAATAGATATTGAGTAGAAGCCCGGGATCAGCTCATACAGTCATACCTCATTTATTATATATGAAATAATTTCTGGGGCAATAGAGCCAAAGTTTGATTGCCGAGTTAATTATGAAATCAAATATTGCTTTGACTTGGTAATCTGACTTCTCGTTATTACTATTACTGTCTATTGTACTTGTGTTCAGGCCCATGCAGGAGTCTGGTCGTATTTATGTATAGTCATTTTAACAGTTGTTAGGTTACTCACTATCAGGTTTTTACATTACTTTTCAAGGTCAGCCAAATGCAGTATTCTGTGCATGAGAACACTGCTGAAGGTGCTTCGCCACAATAGTATTTTCAAAGACGTTTACCGTGAAGTAGGACTGCTGGAGGTCATGGTCACCTGCTTGCATCGCTACGCATCTTTGCTCAAAGAACAGAACAATGAAGGTGACTCGAGAGGTAATCCACCCATATTAAATATGTTTGACATGTTTGTCTTTGCTGATTTGGCAGTGTATAGATAATGTTTGTTTTTTCCCGCGAGGTCCAACTACTGAACTATATTTATGTTAGGAATTGTGATGTATATGCTATTCAGTACATTATAGTTTCTTGTATAAATTCAGTGATATTAGCTTATAATAATCTTATACTATATCATACAATGTATTAGTTGGACGTCACACATTTCATTAGGATATTTTATTAGTTGACTGCTTAGTTATCTATGTAATTGACAGATGGCCTCAAGCCGTCCATCCCGAAATGTCGGTTGGATTGCGCCCAGTTTTCGCGGAGTGCGTTTTCAGACCCTTGTCTAAGGTATCTGTCTAAGGGGATAAAAAGGGGGCGGCGTATTCACGTTGGGGCGCGGCTTCGCCGCGAGCTGTGCGCTGGGCGCAAAAACCGGGGCCGCAAGTCCGTCTAGAGACAGCTGATACTCAAAATTTTTGATGGAAATGTTTCAGATATAGCAAGATGAATATCATGAAAAAGTTGATGGCTCAGGCCCGGCCAGTTTATGAGCCTACCCCTCAACAAGCTCAGGTAAGAGTATGTCCTGTAGATGTGCAATATCCATCTACTTGTAGATCTTCATCACCATATATAAAAAAACATACCAGGGGTAGAAATTAACTTTTGAACACGGGCGTCCAACGGACTCCTTACCCTCAAAAAGAGGGAGTCCGCAGCAAAATGAGGGAGTCCGCAGTCTGAAGTTCAAAATTAAAGATATTAACAATAACGCATGTGCTTATTTTTAAGATCCATGCGGTTGCACGTTTGCCAAATTTTCTTTGGACTTTTACTGAAAAAATACGGTAATTCTGCGAGCCGTGCTCTGGAACAAACTAGTTAGAATGGCAGAATTTTCAGGGAGTGCATATGTCAAATCAGGGAGTTCGACAGTAAATCAGGGAGTATTTGACTCTGGACTCCCGTTAATTTCGCACCCTGACATACCTAGTCCTTGTGGTGATGATGATATTTTTTATGTTTTAAACTTTTTGAAACGCTGAGGTCACTCTTTTCGTAAAGGTGATGGTGATCACGGCGCAATTTTATGTTGACTAACTGAAACGCAACACTCAATGATTGCAGTTTATTTTGTTGTGTCATTTCGACTGACAGAACAGCAAACAAGTTGGTATTGTACGATTGGTTGTGTCACCATCGTGTGACAGTCATAGTAGTCAACACACAGAAGGTTTTCAGTCACACGAGTGTGGAGTGGCAGTTGGGCAAGCTAAAATGAATTTGTGATAAAATTGTGTTTAGATACATGTGCAAAATTACTTTCCTTGAAACAAAGGTGTTGCATCTTAGCTCTTAAAGTGATTACGTCACCGTAAATACTAAATAAAAATAAAAATTCTACTTGGTTTTCACAAAATCGAAGGTAATTCTGTTCATTTTTATGTGCAAATTGCTGGGCATTATAGCTTCCTATTTTACTATAAAATTGTTCGATGTGAACGATAAACTACTACATGACTCATAATAGCGCCATAGCCTCAAATTTTAATTAGTTGCAATTTTTAGCAAATAGAGCATGCGTCATTAACTCAAATGAGCAGTTTTAAAGAAAAATAAATCAACCACTTGAATAAAAAATGGGAAACATGAGAAATTTTTAGTAGTATCATAATTCGTATAAATATAATCAGTTTGTGTAGGGTGGCAATTAGCCATCCAAGATTCACAAATGCCTTAATGTCTATCGTAATAAAGATGGTTTTGCCTGCTAATGTATTTTTCTGATGCACGTGCATGTGGGAATCCTGTGTTTCATGGTATTCAAATGTGAATGTGTTTTACCCTGTTATTTACAGGACAATGGCTCTATTGGTTGATGCACCTCCGCAAAAACTGTTCATGGAGTTTTGCCACCAAGCAGACGCATGTTCACCCTGCAGAGCAAGAAGACAAGCTTTATAACATGTTGGGCCTCTTTGTTTTGTAAGGTATATAAATTTACATGTACTTTGTTTAATTATTCTTTTCAAGAGTATGTGCAAGTGAAGAATAAAATAATTATATCTTTTGATAAGATAAGTGAAAGTGATTTTCACATTATTAATTCATTATATTGAATGTATTAATAGTAGTGATATATGTTTATCAGATGCTATTATACGTATTGAAAAGTATTGATGTACTAAAAATGCTAATATTGAAGTTCAAAACTGTGTGAATTTTAGGTCTTTTGGTAGCAGCCCTTCAAGTGAGAATGGAGAAGTTTGGGATATCCTTCAGTTTTGTAGGCTATGTCTCTAAGGCTAATGGTAACAGAAGTCAGAAGAAGGGCATCAAAATCAATGGCTACTGTGAGCAGATTTAATCATTTGGAATACTACTAGTCAAAGCTGTATAGTTATCATAATACAGTTATGAACCTTAGTTCAAAATACTGTTTTAGTTAATTTTAATGCAGCATTTAGTTTGTGTCTTGGTTACATCTTTAAAAATCTGACAGGTAGGTGGATTTTTTAATATTTTTAATATTTTTGTTTTAATTTATTTTTTATTGTTTGACTTTACCGTGCTCGACTTTCATTTGCCTTTTAATCTCGTGTTATCATACCGATCACACTTCTTGAGAGCAAATCTGTTCTTGCACAATCTGTAGGATGTTGTTTGCAAGTCTTAGCTACGTAACAAGCCAGATACTACGGCTGCAGCATTATGGTCATGCTTTCCCAACCGGGCATACATGCTGCAGTAATAATTTGAAAGCAGCAATTCCTCTATAGTGGCATAAAATTTTGCATTCTCAGGCAGAATGCAGCATGCATCGCGCACCAGGTGAAATGCTTCCAGCGCACAATTAACTCGTAATGTCTTGTGGTGTTTCAAGTAAACGCAATGTCACATGGAGTTCGCACTGTGAGTGCAGTCCCAATAAGTTTTTATGGTAGATATTTTAGTGTTTTTCTTCGGAATTTATGTTTACAGAGGCAGCCAGTCAAGCGATCGTGAAATTCGCTTGAGATTGAGAATACAGAGGAGGCACAGTAAATGGATGGATGCCTGTTAAATCGGCACACCCAACCTTCTCGCAGCTGGTAACTCATAGTATGGTAAGTAGGTAGCCGGATATGTAAAGCATAAACTGCTTTAAATGCTTCAGTGTGTGCAGCCTGATCTTAATTCAATGCAAATCTTAGAAATATATTTTTATCTACAATACAAAAATGAATTGTAATTAATTAAATAAAAAATATATTTTGATTAATTAAAAAAAAAAAAAAATTTGTATTTATTTATTAAGTTAAATTATTTAAATTAATTAAATTAGAATAAATTTAATTTTACATACAAGTCTACATATAATTATATTGTATAGCATATAACTGTTGAACCTATAGTATTCAGTACGTGAGAATTTATTGATTCTTTCTACTGATTTTCAGGTTGAAGTGATGGTTTTCTGTCTCAGTTCCTTTAACAGCTAGTCAAGTGTCTCTACCTGTTCTTCGATTCCCCATCTGTAGTTGAGGAGCAAGAAAGGCGAGGCAACCAAGATTCAGATTTCACGACCAACAGAGAGAGAGAATTCTCCTCCAGAAAGTTTCTCACAGGTTAACAATTACAACCAATAGTTACTGAACATCTTTGGGTAGAGTGCATATTTAGGGCAAATTGGTATAAACTTATAAGGACAGGAACTATGATGCACTAAGCATGTATGTTCACTGTTTTTCTGTATGGCTCAGTAGCAATCGGCAAATTCTAAGCAAGCTTTATTTCATTAGGCAGAATGGAAGGAAATGGAAGTTAATGGGCATTGCATCAAAGGGCAATTTTTTTGAGGACTCGTTTTGGCCATTGAGGACATGTTTTGCTTTAAACAATAACTAGAATTTTCACGATATATATTGAGAAACCGTGAAATGCACTTGCGTAAGCGACATATGAAGAAGCGCAAACTTTTAATGACGCTTTTTTTACCGCCTCAGGCATCAAATCATGTTAAACATTATATGTCTTGTTCAAGGATAAAATAGAAAGATATGAATTGTTTAGCTTTTGGAGTTTTTAGTAGGAAATTAAAGCTTTAGTAAGAAACACACACACGCTTTTCCAAAAATCCCACCCTAAGCATTTAGCTGGCTGCTATAAAAGTTGAGTAAAATGTTGAAATGAGTACATGTTTAAAATGATGCAGGTTAATCGGTGCGCTTGGTGCCAGTCATGAGACCTCCGTTGAAGAAGTTGGCACGGAAAGGACGATCTTACCACTCTGTTCAGTGGCAATATAACGGCAGCTGGTGTCCACCTCACAACAAACCATGGAGGCAGGCTGGCAGCTAGAGGCTTCTCATGACACTATCCAGGCATGGCCTGACCCCCGATGCTTGTTCAGTACAGTCATAGTGAGTATAAAGTTTAGTGCTGATATTGATTCGAGTCACGTTATAAACATAACATGCGTGCAAGGTTATCCCAGTGTATGGTGGCGTGCGTGATTTAAATTTTATGGTATTACTCTACGCTTTTCAGGCAGGGATGGCATGCAATGGTGTGTGGATAACATGCAGCGCACACAAGGACCTTTCACCACTCGAGATAGTGGAGATGTTTGTCTGCGTAATTCTGCTTCTTAAAAGACTCGAGGAAGCGTGTCACAGACTCTGATGGATGATTTCAGGAAAGTGCCAGCTACATTTTTCTTTCGAGTTTTTGGCTGAGGTATTATGGGGCAACAAAACCTTAGAAGCTCCTAAGAAGAGCTGAATACCAACTCATTCTGTGATGCAGGCGCATGTCATTTTGGTCCGGAACCCGTGCTCACGGCAATCAATTAATGGGTGTGCTCATGATGTCTCAACCGTCAGCTTATGTATGCGCGAATGTCTAAGTTTACATTTAGCGAAGTGAGCAAACATAGTTACCTAGACACACATGAACATTTACCAAAATTACTAAGTGTTTCTGGCATCTCAGAGCACCTGGGAAATATCAGGTCGCTGTCCATTAAGTTTGATTTTAGTTGCTTCTTAACTGGTATTCAGTATGAGCTCCAGCATAATCTGTTAGTGTGCTATTGTCCGTCTGCCCTCGCCCCTCTGTTTGTAGGGTGTTAATAATAGTGGTTGATGGATGTAGGGGTCCAATTAAGAATGACAAATTGGGTATAGTCAATAGGTTGAAGAGATGGGATTCCCCCCCCCCCCGCTAACCCACTAACGATTAAGATCTCCATTGTACAGATTTCTGGAAGCTTTGTGAAATGTCTATCGTAAAAAAAATATATTTAAGTATTTTTAAAAGAACAACTTTAATTGTTATTTATTGTAAATCAGTTATATGTTAATGTCCATGGTATATAGTTTGCTAGGTGATGTCTCACTGAGATATGTATTCATAGGTTGAACAGGACAGAAAGCAGGAAACGTGCTGGATGCTCTGTCGCAATGCTGGTGTTGTTTTGGTATCGTCACTGTCATTGTGGTGGTTATGTAGAGCTGGCGACCTAAACGCGCAGGCTAGCACTGGATCTTCTCTAATCAGATGCCCTGGCTTCTCATTGGCCGCAGCCATCAGGGAATGGACTAAGTGTTCGAAATATACAAGCATTCCAAGTTCTGCAGTCTGTCGG